TACCTCTTCTTTGTGGCTCGTACTTTGCTGGATGATGCCCGAGATTAATGATTTATCTCTCTTCGTCCTCAAGTACCTTGTTTCAACCGTTTCGCTTCTGAATGGAGGGACTTTCTATAGCGTTTCTTACTGGTGAAACCTGTCACTTCTGAGGTGCATATGGCCTTCTTCCCGTCTTCGGCTCTAGGGGGAGTGTTTGTTCTTGTAGAAGTGGTTTTCGTAAAAATTGCTCTAGAGTTCATTTCTACCGACCAATCCCTTCTTATCATTCTTACTGAGGAACATAATGCTTAGGGTTACCGGCAGCAGAGGAGGAGCTATGGTGTTATGATTAGGCATATGCAGTAGGTTATGCTTTTATTTGTATTTTGGGAATTTTTTGTATTATTTTCCATACTTCGAGAACATTATTTGTAATATTCTAAGTTGGTTTTTTAATTAATGCATCACCTTGTTCTATGATGTTCGTGTTTATTAATGTTTGAATCAAATTATGACATTGTTAGTTGAATTAAAATGACTTTGAAATTAAAAAAATACAAACTTAGAACAATGTTTTTGTTCAAGATGCATGCAAGTAAGTTTTCGGAGATGCATCTCTGAATTCGCCCCAGAAATATTTGCAGATGCATCTCCAAACTAATTTTTGACAAAAAAAAATGGGATGATTACTTGATTTATGAAGGATGGCATGATTTTAGATGCGTCTAGAGATATATCCCAAAAAAAATTAAATGTAATTTTGATTTTTCAGACATGTGAGTCACTCCCTAAGTTTGGGAAAAAAAAGGATTTCTTTTTCCACTTCATGCATTTCTTACGCACCATATGGATTTCCTGTTATTCCCCCAGTTTCTAGAGATATATCTCTGCATCCCCAACAAAGGACATTTTGAGTGGTGCCCCATGCATTTGGTAAAGTTTTATTATGGAGATATATCTCTAGAACAATTTGGGGAAAACATTTAAATTGTTCAGTTCAGTGAATATTCTGGAGATGTATATCCGGAATTTTTGCGGCAATATGAATTTTTCTGTCACCTTTGAATGTCATATTTTTTCAGAGATGTATCTCTGGAAATATCTGATATAGTTTCCAACTGCATGATCGGTCCCCCATTATTGTCATTCTTCATTTTCAACTCAAACCCTCACCCTAAAAACCCTACATTCTCAATCCTGTTTCTCACTCTAAATCTCCATCCTTTTGGTTCAACATATCACAAGGAGCAAAAGAAAATTGAACTTCAGTTAAAGATTGTTCATTTTCCTCTACGTTGCTCACATTAATCATGAAAGTTTGCCGAAAAGACCTACGCAGTATTTGGAGATGTATCTCTGGAACGAATGTATATCAACTTTTCTGGAGATACATCTCTGGAGTGTTTCTGTGTTCATTTTCTAACCCCTTCTGCAGTAGTAGATTAATTAATATTTTGTTATTGTTTGTATTGTTTCCAATAGTTATGGTGCACCCATATATTTTCCCAAAATAAGTAGTTTCTCTGAACGATGATTCTCCAAATGTTCAGGGGTTGTTGTGAAGGAAATAGATGTTAGCAATGACTTTAATAACAAGAAAGAGTTTGAAAATCGTGATAACATGCTCGAATGGATTCTTATGGAGGCATCTAGACTTATATTTGTTGTAGTTATCGGAAGTTCAGATAATGGCTCGGATAGAAGAAGCGCATTTGTGAATATGTTATGCAAAAGAAGCGGGAGATATCGAACTCTTGTCTGAAATTTAAAGAAAGACGACACGGATAGTAGAAAATGTGAGTGTCCGTTTAAGCTTCGTGGTTACATGTTAGCTAACAAAAAATGGAGATTTAATGTCATTTGTGATTTGCATAACCATGAATTGTGCTTAAAATTAGCCGGTCATCCTAGTGTATATCGGCTCAAACTAGAAGAGAAGGAATGTATTAGTGACATGACCTTGAATCTTGTCCAACCGAAAAAATATACTTGCAACTTTGAAACAGAAGCAAACCGAAAATATATCAAATATCAAGCAAGTGTATAACATTTGGTACCTCACTAACAAGGCGATTAGGTGGTAGAATTGAGATGCAACGACTGTTGAAACTGTTGGATGATAACAATTACGTGTCTCGGTACCGAACTTGTGATGATGGAGGTACGGTTAGAGATATTTTTTTGGACTCATCTAGATTCGATAAAGTTGTTCAAATATATTGATTGTATCGTCAATGTTGTGGGGAACGGTAATTGCGGTTACCAAGCCATTTTGGCTTTACTTGATAAAGGAGAATATAGTCATGCGCTTGTCCGTCATCAACTTATCCAATAATTGAAGATGCATAAAGAATCGAACACGCGGTTGTACGAAAAATAATGAAAAATTCGATGCGGTTTATGAGTCTTTTGTTCCTTACTTGAGTGGTCTGGCACCGGAGTCAAAATGCACGATCTTCCCGGATATGGGTCACCTAATTGCATGTGCATATGATAGGGTGTGCATTGACCTTGCACGCTACGGGTTTTCAAAAATCTTTTTTCTACTGCGCATCGCACCACCCCAAAATCCAAATGATTGCATCATGTGTATTGGATGGGTTTCAAAATCAATTCATTTTGTTCAAGTTTACATGACATCGGGATGCCTCATACCACTTACATCACCGGAGTGGACGACTCATTCAACCGCAAATGACGAGACGTAGCCGGATTATTTTATGGAAATGATGCAAGAATTCGATAGATTGAACAACATTGAAAATGAATTAAATTCACAAAAGTCCAAGGGGGTACCACCTATAGATTTAGCCGGCGACATATGTTTCAATTCGTTTTGATTTCTTATATAACCGGACAAATAATTGTATATAATTTTGTCTCAATATAAATGAAGTGTCACATATTCACTTTTTATTCATATTTGGTCTTTATGCATATTTGGTTTGTATTTCGTTCATATTTGCTCTTTGTGAACTCTCTGTCATTTGCTTCTGTTTTGAAAATGTTTCAGGAAAAGTTCTGGAGATACATCTTCGGAAGGTTCCCTTAAATGATTGTTTTTGAAATGGTTCAGAGAAAGTTCCGGAGATGCATCACTGGAAAATGATAATATGGTGCGCTTTCGGAGATGTATATCCAGAATTAATATAACAGACAATGCGTGGTCCATATTGAACTAGGTCTTCTATAAACTTAAGTGTTCTTGTGTTACATTTTACACAAACTTAAAAATGTCTCACATGTCACAAATAAACATTCATTGGTATATCGCAAATAACCGATGGCAAAACACCCGGAGGACATTTAAGCTTATCGATCTCACCTCATCGAAGACATCTTAGACGAAATCTGTTATCTCCTACCTTACGGAGACAAACAAAGGGTTGTCAAGCTTAAGTACCGTTCACCATCAGTTGACAGCGTAGGGAACATTGTGTTCAACAAATTTGAGCTCAAGACTCATGCGGATGTTAGGGCTATGTGGAATACCTATTTCAGTTTCGAAGAGAAAGTTTCGTTCGAGTTGGAAGCTACGCTACGAAGATCAGTCGAAGATATCCTGAAGATGTGCAAATGTTCACCAGAATATTAAAATGTAGTATTTGATCGATTGATATCATCATTGTAATACTTATTTTATATTTGAAAAGTTTTTTTTATTTAGAATCTGTATCTAGTGTTTTTCGAAAAATTTGCCATATTATTAACCTGATTAATAGTGACTATGAAAAAGGCTTATTATTGATTCCTACTAAGTCCATTTAATCAAGCTGTTGCCACTAGGCCTACAAGCATTATTCCTCAAATCTAATTTTACTTCTTGTATCTTTGTCAATAACCTACTGAAATTGAATACTTGTTCTCTTACACCATTTTTAAATATATTTTCTAGTAGTGGGTCTCTGATTCTCATCCTGTGACTGTTGAGAATAAAATCAATTTGTTTATCATCTCATTGAAATTCGTACCTCTCAACGATATGAGATTTTTGTTAATCAAACACAATAGGAGATAGGATATCGAAAAGCTAAAGTCAACTAAAGTGGGAAATTACCCAAGATTCTAAGCTAAACATGATAATATCAATTATTAACATTATACTAGTATGTGTTTAATTCGTAAGTTACCAAAAAAAAAGAAAATCTAACTAAAATTCACGAGTAAATCGAACCCGGCATACAAAATTCAAAAGTTTTATATTATAATTGTTTTTTTGTTTTAATTGTAATTTTGATATTCCTATATTTTTTTATCATCCAATTTAAAAATCACAATTTTGATCATTTTTTAAATTTTGTGTTGAATTTTAAACTCTTTTTAGAGTCAAAACTCAACACAAACTTCAAAAAATATATATAAAAAAACGTGATAATAAAAATAAGGGAATAAAACCCCAAAAAAAAAAGTAAAATAGGATGATTAGAGTTGCAGATAAACCTTTTATTTCTTTTAAGATGCAATAGTTACTTAGGATTACTAGTTTCATTTATTTTTTATAAGAAAAAATAAAATAAAAAAACACTTTAAAAGTTCTCTCTTAAATTAAACTGATTTATTGAGAACACATTGAATGGAAATTCAATTTTGCAATGTTATTTAGAGTACATTGTGTCTGTAATGTAATGTAAGTGCATCAGTGATTCTACTAAACCATAGCCTAATGGTAAAACAGTTTTTGTTTCCTACATAAATTCAATTTACACTCACCCCCTTCAACCAGTAAAATAAAAATGTTCAACATTCAGAGATGAAAATGATGCAGAAAACTCATATCTTTGAATGAAAAATGTTGGGAGACTTCAATTTAGTAAGGGATGCATGATTTTGGAATGGAATTGAGAATGAAAACAAATTCAGAAGTTGAAACATTGAAACATTGAAGATTAATGAAGATGAGGATGAGATAATACGAATCTCTTTCATTTTCAAGGGGAGAATTTTAGCTAACGACTAGATGCAATAGGTAACTGATTTCTTAAAAATATTAAAACCATTGTGACCTATAAATAACACAATTAATCACACGATGCAACAGAAAGTGCTACACGTAGGTCATTAGATGTTCCACATATATACATTCTATAAGTTTCAATATCTTGTTGAGAAACACTATCACAACGAGCTGCATAGTGATTACCACTCACTTTATCGTGTAGCGAAAAAATAATCTCCCTGAGGATTGGTTCGTGACCATTGAGAAGATTGCCCATGCTCAAAACCTTTCTCCAAGACTGGTTAGCAGTGGGAGGAACGAACATATTTGACAACACTTCCCTTTCATTGTCCCTTACTTCTTGTTTCTTGTCAAACTCCTATGCAAGAATACAAGGATAGTTGAAATGCATGTATAAAAAAGGTATGAAATACTTTGCGTGGAATATTATTATCAAATCAACAGTTGACTTGAGTAATAGAAGTGTTTTACCTTTTCAACAACCTCTTCTGTCAAGCCTGTTCCCATTGTGGGAATATAAAAGTTGTAGTAATCATTAAAAGTTTCTCTTGAGAGGCGTGGTGCTCGTATAAGCTTGCGATGAAGAGAAGCTGCGACAGTCAGTAATTTTTCGACATGTTCAAAAACGACACACAGTCGTTTTAAGTCTTCGAGAGTCTCACTGTCTGCAGACAGTCGATTTACTGCAACAGAATGGGAAGGAGTTAAAAATTATTCTTTTCGCATGAGCGAAATTAAAGAATAATTAGATACCTTGAAGAGGCCTCAAAGCTGATGCCATGGTAGGGTAAAGTTGTTGAATCTTAGTCTCCATCTGGTTCAATTCTCCATAACTAGTCCGACTTATTGTGTCGGCTGCCGCTCTGAAGGCAGTAGACACCATTTGTTCAAGCAATTGATGTGGTTGTAAGGTTTCAAGATAATGAAGAACCTGGAAAATTGAGAACATAAACATTAGAGTCTCTCAAGCAACACAAATATGTACAAGTAGTCATTTTCCTTTCAAATAACAGTAGAAATTTCATTTTGATAGATACTAGTTTGATGGACACAATAACATGTTACAAATGAACTATATAATTTTAATTTCTAGTTCTAGCTGTTACTCATGGGTGGACCCTCAACTCACCAAATGCCCCCGCCTTATGGCATAGCCAACATGAACTCTTTTCCCATAAAACTACATGTTTGCCGGCTCAGTTGGTAGCTGTGTAGGGACATTAGATGCAGGGGCGCGGACTCGAATGCGCAACATCCCACTTTGTTCACCTTTAAAATGTGAATTTCAGCCACTAGACTACTTGACCAAAAAAAAACACACGTTTGCTTTGCCTTTCTGCAGATTTCTGACCTCTTATCTATGCACAAGGACTTTATTAACCGAGGACTGCATTCCAAGACAAATCCTTTTATATAAATATAGGGATGGACCTTCTTAAATCTTACTCAAAATCACTTCCCTCATTGTTAGTAGTTTCTGTGCTATAACAATCGGACAATATGTTTTAGAATATAAAAAAGAAAGGAAAACAAGAATTTCTTTAAAAATACTCACTTTTTCTCCTTCTCTGTTTGGATCAAGAAGAGGCTTCTGTTCCGAAGCAGGAAGAGCAGGTGAGTTATTCCAAATGTTTCTCCATAAATTCCCATGATCCGACATTCTCTTAGAAAGCCTCCCACGTGGAGGCCAACTATCTTTTGACTTATTGATGTCAAGAGCATTGGATGATGTTGATCCACTGCTCTCAGGATCATCATCTGCTTCCCAATCTCCAGGTGAATGCCACCTAATAAAGTCTTCAAAAATAGCATCTGGATTCGCAGCTTTAAATGCTGACATATCTAATAGCACCAAAGCCATTTTTTGTCTGTCACATATTATAGTATTGAACAATGTTGGCATGCACTATTAACTATGAAGCATAAAGGGGAAAAGTTTACCAAGGGTGAAACAAATAGTTTATTCATCATCAAATCAAACCACAAACGATTTGTCTCACAAAAAATTCACTTTTGGATTCAGTTTCATTATGCAGATCAATACCCTTAAAATTTCATATATTTTAAAAACAATTTGTACTTTATCAGTTTATCCTTCAAAAAATAACATAAAATATATGTTAAAATAGAACCTATTATCAAATGTCTATCATTTCCATTTAGTTACTGGTGTGTAGGTATATCAACACCAATTATAGAGCATCATGATACATGATCATTTTGGAAATGTATGAGTATATACGTTTATGGAAAAAAGGGTGATGCACTGACAGTGTAAATTTTTTTTACACTGTTAACCAATGACGACCATGTATTCTGCCAAGTCATACTGAAAATTTTAAACTTTTTATATGACATGGCAGAATGATATATTCCTATTGGATGACAGTGTAAAATATTTTTACACTGTCAGTGCATAACAATTAAACCCTACATTAATATTATTTTTAACATTCTTAAACATATGCTTTCAGAAATAAAAATCGACAAGATTGTCTCATAAAAAAGGAACTAGGAACGTGTTTAATAATTATATGGCGTGATGAAAAACAATATAAATTTTTACCTGAAGTAAGGATATCCTTTTCCAGCTGAGCAGAAAAATTCTGTAAAAAAAAAAAAGGTGAAATCCTGATTTAAAATATGATTGATATATGCAAAGGAACATATATAACTCAACTGCAAGTTTTCTTAGAGTTCAAAATTCACAATAAATGTATGCAATAATCAACCAAATTCAAATGAGAAAGAAGTTTCAAAATGTTAACTCAATGGCCAAGCCAGGCAATTACTCAAGTATGTAAACTATTATATTTTTTTATATACCAAGAAAATGAGTGGCTACTGCATGACAGGCACAGATAGTTTATACCATTTTACACCAATACCTGTGTCAATAAATTGGCTCAAGTTGGTTGGTAAATAGTTTAAGAGGCTATCTATCTAAAATTATCTAAGAGGTCTATGTGGTCCTTTAAGGCTCTAAGCTTTTTTAGTCAATGATTACTGTTATATACAGTATATATAAGTTTGAGCTTACAAATGAATCACCAAAGGCTTCAACAGCTTGCATCCTCTCTTCATGCATGTCTTCTGTCATAAGAGGTGGTTCCTGTAGCATAGATAAAAAGACCATGAGCTTTATATTCTGCAACAATCGGTGGCAAAGTACTATGTTATGAAAAGGTCAAATGGTGCCTGGATGTTGGAGAAACCTGTGTGTATGGAGCATGCATACTTTGATACGACTTGAGAAGCATCATAGAATCAACAATACCAGCTGAACCTCTCCTAGTAACTTCTGAAGATTTTATGTCATTAGACAGGTCTGCATCTTCAGGCTTTCTGTTAACAGTGGTTATTTCATTAGAACAGTGTAAATTATTAGCAGTTGAAAATTATGAATCATGTATGCTAGAAAAAAAACTCGATATTTCCAAGAACATGGTACAAATTTGTAACTTGTGGTACAAAACCCAATATTATTCTTAACAGAAGAACAATGCAAGAACTACAAAACATGGAGCGCAGTAGGTACAAATGATTTTTGGAAAATTTGGCAAAAGGCATACTACTGGCATAGATAATGCCTCACTTGGTATGCATCACTCAAACCTGCAATTTATCATTTTGATTATATTGGGTACTGCAGAAAAAGGATTATTCTTATTCCTTTTGATGATTAAAAACAATTACAAATGCTGGTTTAAATAGAGTTATAACAGTATTCTGTACAATCAACCTATGCCTAAAGATCATGGACTAATTATTTCCTATTAATGCTGAAATAATTAAGGAAAGAAATAATGCTGCATCAGTACATGACAGAATTGCATGATTCTGTTAGATATCCAAAATCTTCTACATTATTCTAAAGGTACCAAAGATCAAAAGCCTATTGTTTCAGGCAACATACCTAAATTCTGCTATTTACGAATTTGATAAAAAAAATGAACAGAACAACGGGACCAAAGAAGCAACAATATATTCAGAATCATAAGCAACGTTTTTAGAACCGGAGCATCGTTAACTTAGTGAAGACACTAATTTGTGGTTTTATTGACTCAACTTGTGAAAACTAAATTTATAGTTTTTGAATAAAATTAATTTATACATAGTCGATGTACAAAAATTTACACATGCATTTAATGATAGCAAATCATATAATAAATTAAGGGTAATGCTAACTTGTGCCCTAGAGGCACATGTTAGGAACTAAATGTAGAAATGTTTTCTTGGAACTTGTGTATTGTTTTTATCAAAAGTTTATAATTAATTCTTTTATTACTTTTTCCAATACAAATTTTCTATTTATAGATTTATTAACATGTGCCCTTAGGGCACAAGTTAGCATTACCCATAAATTAAAAACACATGACTTGTCATACACATACTCATTAAATGATGTGGTGGCAACACATCGTTGGATGTATGTGTAAGACTTTTTTACATTTACAGGCTATATAAACTAAATCCTTTTAAATATTCTACAATAAACTTGATCAAATTAATGGTTAGAAGTGGTGGGATGTTCTCATGCCAAGAGCTGGCTTTTGGGGTTGAGTTAGGCCCAGTTACAACAACAACCAAGCTTTATCCCACTAAGTGGGGTCGTTGAGTTAGGCCCGGTTCATATTTTAATATGGTGATAGGCCCATTAAAGGAGTAAGATGGAGAATGACGAATATAAGGAGAGGGAGGGTAACAGAAAAGGGAACACGAAAATTGTGAAGGAAATTTGGGGATAGTTTGAGTGAAGAAGTAGGTTCTGTTTCATAAAAGAGTTTGTGCTATTTTCTTATTTCTATTATCACCTCATAAGGAGCATTTGATACATTACATTTTTGTTTCTTAGTATATTGCTGTTTTTGTTTCCAATATTACAGAGAATTAAAAGTTCATTCTCTGTTGTGAGAGAATTTGTTGTTCAACGTCAATATATTTTGTTTAACCTCTCTGATTCCTATCCGATGATAAGGTATCAAAGCATATCCTATATTTGCTGTTGGGCCATCCGATTGTTGGGTCACTTACCGATGTCTAATTTGGCAAACTCCACTCTCTAAATGTCAAGTCCAAAGCGTGAGGGTGTATTTTGAGATCTCGTGTTGACTAGTGATATGGCCAAATTAGTGGTTATAAGTAATGGGAAGCCCTCAGTCCAAGAGCTAGCTTTTGGGATTGAGTAAGACTCGACCAGTATTTAATGAGAAACTATAGAAATTTGATTCAACAACTAAGATTGGACATAATTGGTAACATGAATCATGGTAATGGATGAAATAGCCATAAGAGGGGCAGCTCTTGTCTAATATGCACTAAGTAGCTAGATTTAAGTTATAATTTTTAACAACCGAGCAGGTTCTCACTTGCTAAGTTCACCTGTCAACTTTCCCAGAAAAATTCTCACTGGGTGTCTGTATATTCATCAAGTCATCCCCAACCACACTTTCTTCCTGCAATTCAAATAAGACCAGTTTACAAAAATAATACAAAGCATACTGTTGAAATAGTAACAACAATAATACACCAATCAACCTAATCCCTAAAAACAAAAGGAGAAAATGGTGTGTGACCTCAGACATAGAATCTATATGATCAACACTTCCAATACAATCTTGAAAATCTTCAACCAGCTGACACTTCCTCTCAAGGCATATTGCAAGCTGAATAGCAAAGCATAAAATTGTATCACCACTTAGCCATACCATTATGTATTCTACAGTATACAAAGGCCAAGACATCAAATGTTGGGAAAATTACATAACAAAATTACCAACAATATATCTGAATTCAATACACTAATGAAAAAAGAATACAAGGCATTCCAAAATGAGAAAAAATTAGTCAATATTTGTTTTTCTTTTAGCTAAAAAGTATGTTAAAAATGTTCTAGAAAATACACACAAAAATCAATTTTAACATGAAATTTCATGTAAAATATATATAGCATACAAGCACACAATGAGTAAATTTTAGCAAACATCCTTTCAAGACAAACAAAATTACCATATGAAGTTTTTGATTAATCAAACAAGTAGAAAGGTCGATTGATCCGTTAGGTGGCATCCTAGGTAATGGTTGTGACTCTTCCCAACACCACCTAACCTCTCGAACAAACTCTATCCATAGTACAGATATAGCTGTCAAAGAGAATAAAATTACATGATAAAAAATGATTAGTACAATACAAAAGTGATGTCTAAGAAAATAAATTCCACATAGATCAGTTCTCTCCTACTCTAGGTTGAGGTTACAGAACAAACAAACCCTAATTACTTTTGGTATATACCACGTATATTGCAGTTGCCAAACCAAAGAGAATGTAAACAAAATTGTGCAAAGAGCGATTCAAGAGGTGCGCCTTTTACAGCTCGCGAAGTCTTATATCCCCCATCAGAAAAATCTGAGAATTTTACACCTGCAAATTACAACACTGGTTACAGAGAAATAATGTAAAACATCTAAATCGAATTCTAACCAGCAAAATATATCAGCATGTCCTGCCAGGAATGACGAGGAGTTAAACAGTACCTACTGTTTTCATAATTGTTCTTCTTGGAGTTAAACGGTACCTACTGTTTTCAGTAACCAATGCGAGCACATGTATACATATTTGGTATTCTTTTTGAGTTATTGGTATGCTTTTGAGTTATTTTAGAAAATGCCACACACACACACACATAGCATAATAATAATAATAACAATAACAACTACAACAACAGCGAGATCGACAACAACAGATATTTAAAAAAGTATGTGAATATTCAGAAAATTTCAAAGTTAACAAATATTAAAAAATGGAAGATGGAACAATTTAGAATATTCTATTGATATGATAAACTCAAAAAATATTCTATTAATAATTTCAATTTTTTATCATAGAAAAAAAAAATGGTTAAATATGATAGATTTAATAATAATATAACTGAATAATCAAATAAAAATTAAAAGAATAAAAACTAATGATTTTTGAAGTAATACTAACAATATATGTACAAGTGCTAGTTCTCATTTGTTGCCACTAGTTCCTTTCCAGTATCCCCCCGTGATGGACAAAGGTCCACTTCCCACTGTTTTTCCATTTGTTCTGTTTGGTAAAAAATAGTGGGTATCAAATAAGCTAGCTAATAGCAAATGGCTAGCTGATGGCGGATAAGCGGGCTGATTTAATTTGTAAAGTTTGGTAAAATTAGCAGTTGAACTAGCTTATAAATTTGAAATGACAAAAAAAATGTATGTTATAGATTAATATTTAATTTTTTTCAATTTAAGATAACAGGGGTAAAATTGAGAGAGAAAATGACAAGTTATAAACTACTTGAATTAGCTTATCGAAAAACACAATAAACTAAGAAAAATAAGATATAAACCCGTGAGAAAACGATAGTTACCAGGCAGGTATCTTAGTCATATAAACTATAACAAGCTATAAGCTATGAACTATAAGCTAGTTTAGTATGCTTTCCAAACCGTCTAATCTATCACACCCTCGCCTAATGTCGCCTAAGTTCCACTAACACCTGTAAACTGTTCTGCCCCTTATCCCCTCTTTTATTTGTATTGGAGAGAACAGAGTTTCTGTCATAAAATGAAAATACCTAGTCGGAACGTGATTGGCTGTTTATGTCCAAATGTGTGTTCCTCAATGAACTGAAACAAAAGTATACCACATACTAGAATGTGCCTCGTATTGCGACTTGAAATGGTGATTCAGCGAATTTGTCAAGGTGTGATTGAAATAAATAGATGTTGAGAATACATCAGATCAGATGTGATATGGCCTAAAAAAGTACGTTACAAGCCGGTTTTGAGTTAGACCCTCCCCAAATTCTATTATGGTGTTAAAGTCTATCATAGATCTATTGGGCCACCCGTTATCAAACCACTGGGGCCATGTTTCAAATGTCCAGTTCTAGGCTTAACGAAGGTGTATTGAGACATGAAGAGTCCCATATTCAGTGTGATATGGCTTGAAATAATTTTAATATGGTGGACATCTTTTACCTCACAGGCCAGTTTTGGATTGAATTAAGCTTAACCTAAATTCTAAAGAGTAACCAATCACCCAATAAACAATATCTGCCTGTGCAATTATCTCATATTCAAGCAATGCTATTTTTCCACTGTCCAAAATAACTTTTGTTTCATTATTTGGTGCCTCAGACAAAAATCATTTATATTTCATTTCACTCTTTGGTGCCCTAAGACTCCCTGTGGAAGATTTATAGACCATATATAGGGTGTAACTGTAAGAGCAGACCAATGGTTAAAAAACTATCAACAGTGTGAGTACTAGAGCATACACCCAAAATTAAAGCCAATATAAGAGGCTGAAGATCTACATACCTTCAATAAACAGTTCTTTCAGCACACGATCTCTAACAGTCGGTGAAGGTATAACCAATGAGGATCTCAGATTATCAGAACCTGGATTTTCAGCTGCTACAAGCCACAACAAGGGAAAATGCTGGATTTTATACCGAAATTGAAAAGATATACTAACTACGAAACACAAAGGTTGCATTTGTAAATGGAATTCACTATATAATGCACGAAAACAAATTTGAACCTGAAATAAAATCTTCTATAAATTGTGCCTCAAATGACATTTGCAATGCATCAACAAGAAGATGCAACTGGGATGCAAATCCAATCCACCTCTCTTTAGAACCTTCAAGTCTATATGCATAACAATAATATTAAGAAGCATATGTCAAACTTGGTTACGAGTTTTGGTAGTAATTCCATACAAAATATACAACAAAATAAATTTATTTTCACTAGCATTAAATAATGAAGCTTTTTTAAATCATGCTATTATACAAGGACCCTCGGCAAATGCTTTAAAAGTGTAAATGAAAGGACGGCGATTAAGTAGATGTATAGCCTACCTAACCATTACAAGTGTTATAAACATTCAGTTTGACACTGATGAAAATGAAATTTCTGGGCAACATGTAGTTATAAATTGATTCTACAGGGGTTAAAAGTCAATGTTTGGAGTAAACCTTAGAGAGATTGACCACTTCTCAGCTTCATGAGGTGAAGCATTTTCCAGTTCAGCCATTTCCATAGAACTTTCAACCATCTTCTCTGACCATGTTGCGATCAGTTCAAAACCTGCATGCAACCTTTGCATAAATTAAACAGAACTGGAACTGAAATTAGAAAGGTTCATGAAAATAGCGAAGTTTGGAGAGCTTTTATTAATTAAAAAAACAAAATCTGAAATCACCAAAAATGTCCTAGTCATTAAACAAAGCTCTCAAAAAGACTATTGAAAGTAAAGGAATTAAGATTTGTCTGAATTCTGAAAGGCTAGACATACATAATGGACTAAGCAGATACTGTGTCCTCTATTTTCCAAATATTGGTTATACTTTTGCAAATCCTTAGTTCCTCAATGACAAAATGAGCAAAAGGGTTTTTTTTTCAGGAGCAAAGGTTTTCGTGCATCAAGGGGGGTGGGTGCAGTCAGTGTCTCAATATCTTCAGGACGCTCGCAAAGGTTTTTCTATCTTCTTTTTGCTGTAAATTTAAAATATATACAAGGTCCAAAAATCAACATGAGGTGTTGTAAATGATGTATTTTTATAATGATTAGTAGTAAGTTGTATTTGGCTCATTAGTCCATCAGTTCACTAGGTAGGCATTAGGTTTATAATAGCACTTCAACAGTTTAGTGTTTGTACATAATTCATAACTTTGAAATATATTCAGTTTTCACATGGCATTAGAGCGCCCGATTTTAGGGGGGCTTGCTTCCGCCTAAACCCTAGCCATTGTCGTTGCGGTTTCTTTTGTTTTTAAGCTTCATTGCGGTTTCTGTTGTTTTTCCGGCTTCATTGTGGCCCACCTGAGATCCTTTTCGCAGTTTCGCCCTGAGATCCTTTTCGCGGTTTCGCCTATTCATTACCTCTCTGTTTTATTTTATTCATACTGATATATGGGGCCCCTCTAATATTTCAAATATATCAGGTGTCCGTCAGTTTGTAACATTTATTGCTGATTGTATTCGAATTACTTAAGTCTACTTCCTAAAGCAAAAGTCTGAAGTTGCCTCTGTTTCTACAATTCTTCTCAGTGGTAAAAAAAAAACCAACTTGTAGTGATTGTATTCAAGTTACTTGAGTCTACTTCCTAAAACAAAAGTCTGAAGTTACTCGAGTCTACTTCCTAAAACAAAAGTCTGAAGTTACGAGTCTACTTCCTAAAACAAAAGTCTGAAGTTACCTATGTTTCTATAACTCTTCTCAATGGTAAAAATAAAATAAAAAAACAATTTGTAGTGAGTACTAAGGTCAGGTCTGATAATGCCAAAAATTACTTTAACCATAGGCTTAATTCTTTTGTAAAAACGAAGGTACTATTCGTAAGTCTTGGGCTTGTTAGGATAAGACTTGGGCTTGTTAGGATCCAAAAGGGGTACAAATACCGTCATCCAAAAGGGGTACAAACTTGAGCTTGTTAGGATCCAAAAGGGGTACAAACTCTAGCCCAAACATTAAACAGGGAACCAAAATCCTGCCCAATAAAACATAAGAAACCAAAATTTAGCTCAATACCATCACTACACTATGAAGATCTACATCTTCCAATTGCCCTTCTACATCTCCCAATTGCCCTTAGGAAAGATACTATAACATGTACCAACAAGCAACTCTACCTTCTATCCAACTACCTATGTTTTGAACAGTTTTCACCTATCCATAAAGCCTTCATCACCAGACTAAACATTCCCATGATACCTAACTCTTTATCTGACGCATTGTCTGACAAGAAACGGAAACAGATCATGGACTTGAAATGGAAGCATTGGATAAGAACATTTACATTGAAAAATGGTTCCTCTACTAAATAGAAAGCTATGAAACACAGACACCTTGAATACGACCCCGACACTGACACGGCAACGCTTGTAATAATTTGAAAAAATAAATAAGTTAAACGTAATCACAAGTATCGGTGCAGGTGTCAAATACCAACATGGACACAGACACGTCTTTTTTCAAAGATGTCAGTGCTGCATAGATAGAAAGAAACATGTAGGGTGCAAATGGATATACACTATAAATTACAAGGCTGAGGATCTATTGGAAAACAAGGTTGTAGTCAAAGGATTCACCCAAATCTAAGGAGTGGATTACTTGGAAATATTTGCTACAATTGCAGAAATGCAGGTGATATTATCCCTAGCATCTAATTGTGGTTAGAAATTACAACAATTTGATATAAAAAAATGTTTTCCTACATGGAGAAGTTGAAGAAGATATTTACATGGAATTGCCCTTGATTATGGTGAACAAATTGATGCCAATATTGTTTTTAAACTAAAAAGAAGACATTATATGGACTAAAACAATTACTGTGTGTCAGGTTTGAAAGATTCACTAAAGTTATGTTAGGTTTTGGCTTCAATATTCTATTTATCTAACATTCTGAGACAGAGATTAATTGTGTTATTGGTGCATGTGGACACATTATAGTGACAGGTAATGATGAAGAGGAGCAACAATAGTTGGGTCGCCACTTGGGCAAATTGTAGTATTATCTAGGAATTGAAGTTGCTCTAAGAAAGGAATTTTCATATCCCAACAAAAACACATAATTGATCTTGTGCAAAAGACGGGCAACAGAGCATGCAAGCCTACAAGAAAACCAATTGATCTAAATGCAAAGGAAGAGCATAACATATTGCGGTTGATAAGGGGATGTATCAAAGGTTAGTCGGCAAACTTATTACATACTAGATCCGATGTTGCCTTTGCATGAAGCTTAGTCAGAGGAGATTCATTTACAAGTTGCACTTTGAATTTTGCAATATTTGAAAGGAATCCTAGGTAGAGAAATTTTGTTCATACGGAATGGAAGAGTGGATCTTAAAATCTATATTGATGCTGACTGTGCACTGTGCAGGGTGAATTGTGGATAGAAGATCAATTACAAGATATTGCACTTTCTTGAGTGGGATCTTGTGACTTGGAACTTCCTGCTATTGGAAGAGTAAAAAACAATGTGGTCGGAAAAGACTTTGTCCGTGGATTAGGTCCATACCTGTGAGGGGGATTGGATTATTGCAGGAAAACTGGCTTTCAGAAACCTTGATCAGATGGTTTTCTTGGCTCGTTAACAGGTGTGTTGTTTGGGTCAGATGGATTTCTTGTCTGAGGTTGATACTATTATCAGATGGGTTTCTCGTCAGAAACAGAGGTTCAGATGGATTTCTTACAAGGGCATTGGTATTTTGGGTGTCGGATGATAGTCAGTGTCATGAGGTTCTGGTGACTGTGGTGGTTTTCTGTTCTTGACGTCACAGAGATGTTCCTCTTCAGGCTACAGCATGGCCTCTGTGTTCATTGATTGCATCATTTATCATATTGCATTATTGCATCACCATTTGCATCCAACTAACGTGTGTGTATTGCAGGTACATATTTTCCCTCCCAGTCCCGGTGGTTGTTTCTAGCAGACATGGAAGCCATGAAGAGAGTGTTACCCTACAGATTCCCGTCTCCAGATATCAGGCTGTTGTCAGAGTTAATTACTATTGCTGGGAAGAAGGTGATGGGAGATTTCAGGAAGACATATGGGAGGATCCTGACTTATGTTTGCCAGCCCTCGGCTTATGAGATCAGCGGTATTTACACCCTATTGCAGTTTTATGATGCTGAGCTCAGATGTTTCGTATTTCCTGATTTTGTCTTGGCTCCTACCCTGGAGGAATATTCTGCACTCTTGAATATTCTGCACTCCAGGGTAGGAGCCAAGACAAAATCAGAAAATACGAAACATCTGAGCTCAGCATCATAAAACTGCAATAGGGTGTAAATACCGCTGATCTCATAAGCCAAGGGCTGGCAAACATAAGTCAGGATCCTCCCATATGTCTTCCTGAAATCTCCCATCACCTTCTTCCCAGCAATAGTAATTAACTCTGACAACAGCCTGATATCTGGAGACGGGAATTTGTAGGGTAACACTCTCTTCATGGCTTCCATGTCTGCTAGAAACAACCACCGGGACTGGGAGGGAAAATATGTACCTGCAATACACACACGTTAGTTGGATGCAAATGGTGATGCAATAATGCAATATGATAAATGATGCAATCAATGAACACAGAGGCCATGCTGTAGCCTGAAGAGGAACATCTCTGTGACGTCAAGAACAGAAAACCACCACAGTCACCAGAACCTCATGACACTGACTATCATCCGACACCCAAAATACCAATGCCCTGGTAAGAAATCCATTTGAACCTCTGTTTCTGACGAGAAACCCATCTGATAATAGTATCAACCTCAGACAAGAAATCCATCTGACCCAAACAACACACCTGTTAACGAGCCAAGAAAACCATCTGATCAAGGTTTCTGAAAGCCAGTTTTCCTGCAATAACCCAATCCCCCTCACAGGTAAGACCCATTTGTAAGTTATTGCATTTGGATGGAACATAATGGAATGAAACCCTTTTTGCCAATTGAAGTTAACATTCAACAGTTCCATGGTTAACCTAAGTTGACAGACAAGTTGGGTTATAGCATAAACTTTGAAAATTGTCCCAAATTTCAGATTTTTTGGGGCACAAGGGGTGTGTTGTATTTAAACTTACAGTGGATGAGTTTAACATCATATAATAAATATCGATGTCAATGATAAAAATTTCATAAAATTCACATTCTACTGAAAAGAGCTAAAAGCACTTGATGTATCAAAATTCTCTGATCATGCATGCAAACGAACCCCTATATTCCATTTTTTGTAAATCATAGCCCATCCCAAACTAATCTTCTACATGCCTGAATGAATTCATAAGCATATATAAACATAATTATGAGGAATCTTCAAGTCTTAAATCTTGTACTGTCTAAATAAAAGCATCCAAGCAAGCACCTAATTACCTAAAGCCATTTCTACCAACAAGTTCCTTTATCATAACAATTACCTTTAACAGGATCTTCTGCAGAATACCACTCGCTCCAAGAACAATCGTCATCCCACTGTGTCCCATTGGATGTTTCCCCAGAAAGATTTTCCCTTGATTTGATCATTTTAGCATCAAAGTCTTTCATATAGTCATCGTCAAAGGGAAGTGTTCTGAATGTAAGCTTCATTGCTATTCGGACTTTGAAATTATGAACAGATAGATCCAGTGTGGAGTATGCCTTCAGTATCAAATGAAAATTAATTACAGGCAGAAGTTTACAGGACAGCGTAGACAAGTCAAAATTTTACATAGAAGAATAACTGGTTCTAACAAATTATTAAGAGATCATTATGTACGAAATTGCAAAGAATCAAGCAACATATTTGGGAAAAGTAAGGCAGAATATAGAAAACAAAAAAGAATATATCACATACATAACTTTCTTAAAGAATAAAGAGAGCTCGGAACAAAATTCCAATTCTTTATACAACTATTAATGCAACAATAAAATAGATAATTGTTGCATACTTGCATTCTCCATAGTAATACATACTCCCTCTCCCCATAATAACTATCACATTTGTAAAAAGCATTTGTCCTAAAATGGTTGTAACTTTTAGTTTCCAATGCAACTTAAATTGCCTACTTTCCAATTGTACCCTCAAATTAATGGTATGTGCATCACTACCAAGATATGGGTATAGATCAATAGTTGATATGGGTATAGATCAATAGTTGATATGGCTAAATGGGTAAAATTATCTCTCTCTTTTATTTATCATTTTCTCTTAATTCATGTGAAATGGTCAAATACAACAAATATTGTGAAATGGAGGTGTAATAATTAATTCATTCACATATCCACTTATTAATTTTATCTCAAGTCAAGATGTCCCTTCCCCAAGGGGAAGAGGTAAGGTAAGACTAACTGGTAAACCAATTGTATCATAGCATATTAGCATTAATGCACGAGTTTTGTAAAAGAAAGCAAAGTATGGAAGCATAAAGCAACAAGGGGATATCACATAAAAAATCTATGTGTAGTCCAACATCTAAAATCTAAATGAAGATTAAATTAAGCAACTAGAGACAGGAACTCACAAACTTAGATACAAATAACTCGTACAGCCCCTCCAAATGCATAAGTTTTATTGGAACCTGACTACCAATTCGATCTGCTTCAAACCTTCTAGTAAATACAGTGCCCATGCTCTGAATTCCAATATAAGCTTTTCGCGAAGGAACGTGAACTGGAACAAATGCTGGCCACAAACTTTGAAGCCAAAGTTATTAGAAAATAGTAGTAATAAATAATATACTGTTTCATTATGTTCTATTCATAAACAACAAGCAATAGTTACCTTGAACAATTTGACAAAGCAATCGCAACAGCACTCAACAGCTTGCTAGCCTCTGGCGCATCGAGAACCACGCCGCTTGCACTCTGAGGAGCAATCACCTAATGATATACATGACAAAAGTGCTTTCTTATCCTCAGTTTCACTAAGGAACTTTCAGTGAAAGTCAAAACACAACATTAAACCATACCAAAAACTCCTTTACGCCGAAACATAACTGTAGATCGTGCAAATCAAAATTCCAATTTGCGGGCTTGCCTGCGTCAACTAAACGCCACAATAAATTAAAAATTAAAAATTCCTGAATTTATCTCAACCTACTAATCATCTTCTACCCAGAACAAAAAGTACCTGCAGAGTTAGTCTCAAAGTAATACTCCATGCTGTAACTTTTCAACGCATACTTCGTCTCAGATGTCACCTTGTACAAATTACCAGAATCGTCCAATAGAACCGCGCCTTTTACCTAGAACAAAGTTACGCTGTTACAATAAGATTTGTCATCATCATCAGCATTCCAATTATGCCAAATTCAGTGAGTTTCAATAACTACCAGTAAATTCTTTGGGCCATCAGACATCCAAAGCCGACAAACAGCCTCTATTTCAGAAATAAACCTACAAAACACACAATTAAAAACAAAAATAAAACTTACTCTAAACTAATTTCATCAAAGAATAAATTCGAAATATAAACTAAATCCATCTAATTTCTAAACTAAGCTAATTTAATCAAAATTAAATGCAAAACAAACTGAAGAATACAATGTGAATAGGGAAAATCGGAGAAACATCACACACACCGTTCCCACGACGAGGCAAGGGTGAAATCGTCAAAATGCTCGAGCTGCATCATCAACGCGGAAAAAATTAGCAGACGTAAAATCAGTAGTAAAGTGAAATCAAAATCGAAATTCGATTCAATGTTTATTGTGCATTAATAAAAAACCTACGTCGTCTTCTTCTTCCTCCTCGTATTCTACTTCGGTGTAATCTTCATCAGTAGAATCAGCTTGGATCTTCTTGCCAGTGTTGGAGGGAGACGCCATCGAATCCAGGATATGAAAACGTTCACGCAATGCGCAACATCGTGAATCTGTATAATTATTGTTATGTTATGGTATGGTATGAAAATGGAAAAAGTTTTCGATTTTTCACTTTCACTATTTTTTTTCTTCCTTTTTCTTTTCCGATGTGATCAAAATACCGCAACCATCCTTGAGAGTTGAGATCCGAATGTGAATCACTCAAAACAATTAAAAATATATTTTTTTTAAGCATAACATATTATTATTATTATCTATTCTATAATCTTTAATCAATAATCTATAACATATTGGCAAAACTTGATTTTTGGTGTAACTTAATTTTCTATCAATTTTATCTTTATTTTAAAATGTATAATTTAGGTAATAACTTTTATTGAACAACTACTATTATTTTTCACATAATTTCTTACATAACTTCTATTTAAAATTAACATTAAATAAAAAAATATCATTTATATTTTTTAAATGTGCACATTAAAAAAACTGCCAGGCGTACATGCACTGAACTTCTGAATGCTAATTGTTATATAAATTGTTTTCTATTTTGGAGTAACATAAATGAAAATAACAAATAAATTTTATAAAAAAAACAGAAATAAGGGACATTTGTTTATCAAAAAAAATTAAAACAAGAGAAAATGAGTAAGTTATTTGCTTCCTAAACACATCCGAGACTATATGCAAACAAGATAATATTCAATTGAGGAGGAGGAGCAATTCTTCTCACCTTCAAAGATTCGACATATGAAGTTGCATATTTAAACAATCGATCGTTCATTTATTTTCTTCTCTTAATATATGATTAAAGGTTTTCTCATTATTATTATATCGATAGATTAGTACACTTGTTAATTTACCGATCACGCTGCTGTTAGCTCGCCAATTCGACGACTCATGTTTGGAGGCTATTTTTAGCGTGTTAAAAGACCTACAAGTCTTCCAAGGACTTAGAAAAATTGAAGTTTTGAAATTAAACACTTCGACTTAAGTAGTGAAATGGTATCTCCGACCGAGATTTAGAAGGGGGAACGAATTGAGTTTTGAAATTCGAATATTGGAGGGAGTAGTTATATTTTCTTATAACTAAGAAGGATAAGTGGCTCTCATCGGATAAAGGACTGCATGCGGTCTGACACTTGTCAGGAATAGATGGCCTAAGGAGGTTATTAGCGGTTATTAGCAGTTACTCTTATTGTTATAAATAGGAGTCTTAGACATAAACTTAGTGTGTTGTAATTTACTGTTGTACAAATCACTCTTAAAATTACTCCAAGTATCCGAGTGTAGAGAAAGAGAGTATTATAGAGAATGTACGTGATGTAAACACACCATCCTTTATCTTTTCAATGAAGTTACTTTATTTTCTTTACTTTTGTCAAGTACTTTTACTTATTTATTTCGTCTTTCCTTTTGTTCATCATTACCACTTTGATTAAGTCTTTCTCTCCCAAAAAACCTTTATCTCTTTTCCCTCTTGTAATTCTTCTTCCTTCTTTCTTTTAAACATAGTGGATAATTTCTGCCCCTTTTAAATTATTTCTTCTTAGTATTGTTGAAACACATTTTTAGATAGGTTCAAATAGAAACACCCTTTAGCACATATCCTAGGATTTCGTATGGTCAATCCTGCAAGTTAGTCAATTTGACACCAAATTGATAGACCAGAGGTTGTTTACCAAAAAACATGGTAAACAAAATGGCACACCTGGTGGGACAGTGCTGAACAAAGAAAGTTTAGAGATCATAAAACTCTAGAAATATAAGCCTTGTCAACTTTTCTTCAAAATACATTGTATGTTACTAAGAAGTGGCAGAATAACCACTACGAACGAAGAAAGTTTAGTAAGACGTAACACTAGGAATATGGCGACGGAACCCGTTCAGCCAAATGGCCAACAAAATGGCTCTAGTGAAGAAACAAGAAACGACGGAGCATCGACTTCAATACCATCGACGGGAGAGCAAATAGGACTCCCGGTAAGGCCTGTACCAACACCTTCGATACTAGGGGCTGGGTCGACTGTAATAAGACCCTATACTCAACCAGTATTGGAATATATCGGGCCCCAAGTGTCCAATCCTCAAACACCATTAGAAGGAAGCCCCCTGCCTAGGCAAAATCCTCTTCCTCGATTGGTACAGATGCCCAGGAATCCAACGTATGGAATGCCTACAACTGTGATGTAGGGGCTTCAAAATGCCCCCCATCTTTTTAGATAACCCTGTGACTTCTCCGCTGCAAGGATCAGGATCTGGTGTGAACATTGGTCGAAGTTTCCAGGGCCAGAGTCTGGGATATTCGACGCAAGGCCCCAACTTGACCAATACCTCAGTCGCATGCTTAAGGCAACAGATGGATGAAAGCAACATGCAAATGGTTCAGACTTTGTCCCAGACTATGGGCGAGATCTTTCAGCCATTGATCCATAACACTACCCTAAACCAACCAACAATTGACGCTGCAGTTGACACGGTTGGCTAAGTTCATGGGAGTACCCCCTGTACCCAGAAATTAAAACACAATGGCGAACGTCCCTCGACAGGACGTGAGAAACGCAAGGGGAATACACTTAGAAAACCAGGTTAGAGTCGAACCTCCTATAGTTGAGACAATAAGAGAAAATCAAACGAACCAGGTCCATGTTCTAGACGAAGGAAACCAAGGAGTGGTCGTGATAAACCAAAACCAGGATGCAGATCACATGGTCCAATAAGTTCGACGCAATAATATAGCCATTGACAACAATCTAGCGGCCATGGTCGAAAGGATTATGGTTCGAAATGGAGTAAACACTGGTTTTACTCGACCAAACTTTACATCCCCGATAGTAGATTACATCTTTCAAACAGAGTTACCTCCTAGGACGAAAGTACCAAAATTTACGAAATTCTCAGGGGATACGACGGAATCTATTGTCGAACATGTGGCTCGTTATGTGATAGAAGCCGGGGAAATAGTGAATGATGAAAGCCTTAGGATAAAATACTTTCCAAGTTCCCTCACGAAAAATGCTTTCACTTGGTTCACGACGCTAGCACCTAACACCATATGTAGTTGGGCCCAACTTGAACGCTTGTTTCATGAGCAGTTTTACATGGGCCAGACCAAAATTAGTTTGAAAGAACTAGCTAGCGTAAAACGTAAGTTTTCGGAGCCAATCGAAGAGTACCTCAATAGGTTTCGATTACTCAAAGCCAGGTGTTTCACGCAAGTGCCGGAATACGAACTGGTCGAAATGGCCGTTGGAGGCCTTGATTATTCCATTCGAAAGAAGTTAGATACCCAATACTTAAGAGATATGGCTCAATTGGCCGATAGAGTTCGACAGCTCGAACGTTTGAAAGACGAGAAAACTAGATTTAACAAGAGTAAGAAGGTGGCCTTTGTCGAAATTGATGGCAATATCGAAAGGGCATGCGAGGATTCTTTGAATCTCAACGAAAATGAAGTAGACCTCGTCGAACATAAACAAGGCCCCCCTTATTCTTGTAAAGTATTAGCACCCCCACAGGGGAAGAGTTTTGTCGAATCAGAAAGGAATGATAGATTCCCAAAGAAAACATATACCTTCGACATCACCAAATGTGATGAAATTTTCGATTTGTTGGTAAAAGATGGACAAATGATAGTACCACCTGGCGCTAAATTGTCATCGCTAGAGCAAAGAAAAAAGAGAGGTTTTTGTAAGTACCATAACTTTATGGGTCATAAAACATCTCAATATTTTCTTTTCAGGGATCTTGTTCAGAATGCAATCCAGGAGGGACGACTGAAGTTTGGAGAGAAAACCACCAGCCAAATGAAGGTCGACACGGAACCTCTACAGGTGATGAATACTCACTACACAGAGCCTTTAGAAGCCAACATGATCGAGGTCACTGAAAGCCGCAACTTCTCAGAAAGCATGATAGAAGTTACTGATGACTTCGTCAAGAATGTTGTGATGACAAAGGTCATAATGGGCTTTGATCGAGGCAGTGAAAGGGAGATGGATACTACCAACATCAATGGGGTAGCAGAAAATCCAAAATGGGAAATGGTGACCAAGGAGATGGCTGATAACTTCGTCGAAATGGACCAGGCTACTGAAGGTTTGGGTCTAAGCTTAAAGGGTTTAAATTTGGTCGAGGAGGTTGAGATCAACATGATGGAAGTCACCCAACAAGAAGGTGAGGGGGACAGTGAGTCGAACAACCAAGAAGAAATCACTAAGGAGGCATACCCGAAGCAAGAGGAAACAATCATGGATTTTCTTCATAAATGCCAGGGAAAGGGTTCTAGCGTGATGTTATGCCCACGATGCAGCGCAATCTTCGACAAAAAGGCTGCCCAGAGACTTGAGGGAACACGAAGGCTCAAGCAAAGTGGGAAAATGCCTGAATTCGATAAACGAAGCAGTTTGCTGAAAAGGTCTGAACCCCACGTCAGAGGCCCTAAAACAAGGCCTGCTAGTTTCAAACCCGTTGTTGGAAACACCGATGGTAGGTGGACGAAACCCAACGAGGATAAGCGACAGAGCAAACAAAAATGGAAGAATTTCGAAGTGAATAGGGGTTCCTCAGTTACCTATCGAAAAGAATTCCAGTCTTCAAAGATGGCCCATGTATCCGAGAATTATAAAGGGAAAAACCCCATGTCTCGATCGCAGTGGAGGCGGGAACAACGGAAAAGAAAAGCTCTTAGAGAAACAGCGTCGAAGGACAAGGCCGAATCTAGTACTAATCTCCCAACAAAAAATCAGAGAGAGCCGTCGAAGATGATCAGCAAAACCACATAGTCGCCGGTGGGCAGGAAGTTGTTCTCTGACCAGGTTAAAAATCAGAGAGAGATCACTGGGGTCGATGATGAGATGACGGACAACTTCGACTCAGATTTTGATGATTCGCTAAATTTGTTGGTGAACGTAGTGTCAGTGATGCCGAAATAATATGACAGATTATCTGTGATCGAAAACTGCGACACGGACGCAGACTGCGAAATGGCAGCACACAAACCCGTC